CGGCAGCGCCGGGGCAGGGAGCTGCCGAGTAGCCGTGGTCGTTATGACACACGTTCGACCTTTCGAGGAAGCCGTGGTCGTTATGACACACGTTCGACCTTTCGAGGAACCGGTCACGCAGCTGAGGCCCAGCCCGGGGGCAGAGCTGGCCGCAAACTGACCTGGGTGAGGCAGGACACGGGCTGGCCTTGGCCAGGGTCCCCGGTCAGCCTGAAGTCACACTGCACGTGTGCCCAAAACCCTGCTGATGTGGAGGGCCAGGACAGGAACCACAGGGACTGGACCTGGGTGGGGATGCTTTCTTTCTTTCTCTCTCTCTGTCTCTTGAGCACACATCCGGGCTCTATCATGAATAAGATAAATAAAAAGTGGGTAATTAAGTTGCAGATGATAAATTAAAATGAAGTGAATTTTTTTTTTTAAGAATTATTTTATTGAGGGACCAGCAGTTAGCATAATGGCTACGTCGCTAGACTCCCATGTAGTCAACCGCAGTTTGAGTCCCAGACCCGGTGGCTTAAACTCATGCTGGGCGCATGTGCATGCGTGCCCAAGGTCCAGAGAGGAGAATGGAGGAGAAGGAATTGCGGCGTGGCCATCCCTCCGGGAGATGATTTCTTGCTTTCTGTTTCTGTCTCTCTTAGTCTTTCTGGCTAGCTCACGTGCCCTATAGAAAAAACCTCCCTCCCCCCCCCCCCCAAAAAAAAAATTATTTTTTTTTTATTTTTTTCTGAATTTTCTTTCTCTCTCTCTTTCTCTCTTCTTTTCTTCTTCTTTTTCTTTCTTCTTTCTCTCCTCCTTCCTTTTTTTAAAATTTGACCAGAGAGGGACGGAATGAGAGAGAAAGTGAGAAAGCAAGCCACCAGGTCCGGGACTTGAACCACGGTCAGCCATGTGAGAGTTCAGTGCCCTTAACCACCACACCACCAGCTGGCTCCTGAAGTGAAACTTTTATAAGCCAAAGACAAACATTCTGCCATCCTTTAAATGTATACATACTTGTGTATATACACATGCCTGTATGTGCTTCTCCTGGTTCCTCTTTAGGCACAGTCTGTCTGCAATGTCCCTTTTCGGTGAGCACATCGTCTACACAGCATGGAGAGAGGAGACAGTTTGGGTAGCCGACAAGCACAGCGGGCAGGATCTGGTTAGAATGCGCCTCGGCCCTTCCCGGGCACCGCCTGGCGAGCTTGAGGTGGTGCACCCGCTGCTGCAGCCCGAGGGGCGTGGCACCCCTGGCTCCGGTGAGTCCCGCTTGCTCCTGTTGCTCACTTAGGGGTGGGGGGCACCTTTTCTTCAATTCTCTTCAGTTCCTGGTTGAAACAGACCCCAGTAACAAGACAGCGACAGGAGTGAGGCGGAAAGTATTCACGTCCCTCCTACATGCGCGGGAGGCACCCAGGGGCCCGCCCCACCTGCCACAGACGCAGCTGCTGGGATGGCTGAACACAGGAGGGGAGGAGGGCACGCGCGGTGGGTGAGTGGGACCGGGCAGGCCACCTGCTGTCCCCTACGCCCTCAGTCGGGAACCAACGGTGACCTGACTTCATCTGGATCCTTAAAACACCAGCTAGAAACTTAATTTAACTTCTGTCATGACTATGCCTTCGATGAAATAACGAGGAACAGCAAAAATGAATCCCAGAGACGACGGCCTCATTCAGAGGTTACACGTCGTCCATCACTCATTCCTCGAACCCACGTACTCCAGTTCTCAGCAAGAGCTGTGGGACCAGCTCTCGTGGGCTGTTGCACATCCAGTGGCGGCAACCTGGTGGCCGCACTGTCACTAGATGGGAGCTCAGATATGATGGCTGCCAGGAATCCCCACGGGGAAGTGTGTCCCCTGTCCTCAGACACGCCTCCGTCCCAGGGGTGCGGCTCTCAGCACAATGACCACCGGCTCCTGCGGATGAGGACGTACGAGTGTCCCTCACCACAGCTGTTTCCACGGTCCTATGAGAGCTAGGGTTCCAGAGCATTCTCCTGTGGGTGCCTCAGGGCGACTCTGGCAGGTGTTCGCTCCTTCCCGGGGGAGTGGGAGGCCCACGCAGCTCGGTAACTGACCAGCAGTCTCTCCGGTCACCGCCCTTCACCATAAACATTCTCTCCTCCTGGCCTTTTGCTTCGACTCAGCGTCTTTGGCAGGGAGTTCAGTAGGAAAACTGGAAGCGTGAACTGTAGAAAACATGCCCAGCGATTCACTAAAGAGCACGTTCAGTGTGGCACACAGTGGAATCGGGCCAGAAACTCCTGACAGTGAGGGACACAGACCCAGGGCTGGAGGCCAGCTGGCTTTGGAGATCAGCTGTTATTGACCAGGGGTGACCTTCACGTCACTTCAAGTGCAGAGCATGTCTGAGTCCAAGAGCACTGTGACTCTGGCCACACGAATTAGGTTTAAGTTGTCTTAGTACCTTAGAGAGCAGGGTCCTTTACCGGGCCCACGGCCTCTCGATCGTGTGTCACGTGAAAACACGCAGCTGTCCCCAGGGAGGCGGTTCGTAATTGTCAGGCTCTCTGCGGGCTGATTCCAGGGTCCCCAGAGGCCAGTCAGTTCCTCCTGGATATGGTGTCCACGCTGGCAACTCCCTGGTGGGGCTGGGGGGGTGGACAGCCACCCGGCAATGTGCGTGTACTAAAGTTTGTCCTACAGCAGACCAGGAGTATGACAGGTCACACGGGAGCAGGTGTCTCGTAAAGCCACCCAAGCCCAGGGAGACCTCAGGACCTCGTCCCGTGCGGCCTCGGTGCTGTGGATCGCGGTGTTTCTGCCGCGCAGCGTGGGTGGCCGAGGGGCAGTTGTTTTAGCTGCTGCGAGGCCGTCAGTCTGTGTACGCTTGATTCTTACGGGCTCTGGTGGGTGGGGACACCACGGAGTCGGATCCTTGCGGGTGACTCTTTGCTGTGACTGGGAACCTCACTAGCACAGCGTGGCCGTCCTTGGGTTCCTTGCTCACGTATGTTTCACGAGGGGCTCGAGCAGCCATGATCGAGACCCTGCTAATGGAAAAGATTCTATGCAAATGAACCGAAAATACAACTGAGTTTTCATAGGAATATCGTAAACCCCAGTCCTACCTGTGCGTACACGTATAGAGATACATGCACAAGTGCACACACACGCACACACGCACACACACAGTGCTGCGAGAAGGTCTGAGGCCGGGTGGGGAGCCCTGCCAGACCCGTCTCCTCATCCGCAGAGTGGAGGCTAACCTTTCTGCCGCCCAGCGGAAGGTGGTCGTGAGCACTTGGTGACCGTGGAGTTGCCTTAGAGGTGTCACTCCCATCTCACCGCGGTGAGCGGAGTGCCAGGGTGCGAATATTTGTCCAAGGACAGCAGAAGTGGCGTGCTTGAATGGGAGCGACGAGAGGCGTGGTGGAGGAGCAGGTCGTGCCCAGAATTTGAGGTAGAGAGCAAAGGTGTGGCCAGTGGGCGGCAGGATGGTGACCCAGCGTGCTGCTCCCGGCCTGGCTGGGGGAGAGCCGCAGACTGTGTGGCTGTGCTGAAGCCGGTGAGTGCGTGGCACTGGCCGCCGTCCCCGAGGGCACTGCTGGTGGTGAGCACCGTGCCCACGACGGGGAGCTCTGAGCGGCCGCACAGGGAGGGCAGCCGTGGCGGGGCCGGGACGGTGCTCGCTGAGGTCGGCGCAGCACTCCGGACGCGGGTTTGGCCTAGTTTGAAGCTGGAGAACAGCAGGTGAAGCAGATTATGCAAAGGCATCACCTCCATCCCCGTGTTCCGGCTTCCCGTGGTGACCTTTGGAAGTGGCGTGTCTGAGTCAGGCCGCACGGCAGCACATGCGCGTGGCAGGGAGCCTTGCTGCCGCCCCTGTGCCGTCCCAGAGGAGCGAGGTGCCCTGGGGAGAAGGGTTGTTAGACCCTCAGCACCAGCGGCCGCGGGGACAGCACCCGGCTAGCACAGCCTGACAATCCGAGTTCCGTCCGAGGACAGCTGGAAATGACAGGGACACCCAGGAAGGGAGTCGGCGAGGGGGGACCCAATCCCAGGTTTCATGCCCATTCCCGGGGGTCCTGTCCACCTCCGTCATAAAGGAGGCAGACGCTGGCCAGGGTGCCGAGGACTGTCGGGTGAGTGGGGTGTCTTCAGAAGCTTGCCAGTCAGTGAAGAAGAGGTGCACGCATGGGGGCCGTCACGGGAGTGGTGGTGCTGGAAGGGCACGCACAGCCCTGGAGGGGTCTCAGGGGCAGTGAGCAGTGCCGGCTCCAGAACAGAACATCCCTGCGCCGAGGGGTGACCTACGCGCCTCAGTAGTCAGGTTGCCCCTCCCCATACTGAACCCGGAACTAAGGCTGGAGAGTCTTCGGGGTAACGCCGGAGGGATTTGCCACAGCGTTTAATTCGGCTTAGCTCAGAGCCATAGAGCTTTCTTTCTGAGGCAGGATCTCAGAGCCCGTCTCCTCCAGCGCTTGCATCCTGGGTCAGGAAGCGGGATCAAGATAAAGCGATTTCTGGGAAAGGCAGGCCAGGGCAGGACTCGGTTTTCCTGACTCTTCCTCGGTGGCCACTTATCCCACCGGGGCAGGAAGGCCTGTCTGAGGCTCTCAGAGGAAGCACAGCCTCTCGGGTGTTCTTACTCCAAGAAAGTGTAGCTTCTTGGAAACCGTCCTGGGCTTTTGTGGTGTGCATTTGTAAATTTTATAAAAATTAAAGTTAAAAATATTACATATCCCTTTTTCTGGGAATTCATTGCTCAGACGCTCTGCTCCACAGGCAGCAGCCACTGGGGGGCACGGGTTTGATTTCTGGTCAGACCTCAGCCCGCCGTTGGTGACTCTGGAGGCCAGGCGGGAGGAGCGGGGCCCCAGGCTGAACCGGCAAGGGCAACACCGGACGTCTGCGGACGTCTGAGAAGGGCCGAGCATATGGCTGTGGAGTGCCCAGAATCCCAGCTGGGAGGCTGAGGCAGGAGGTCGGGGGAGGGGGACAGGACCCAGTTTAAAAACCCACTACTCTCTTCCTCTTTCCTGCCCTCTCTCTCATAAAAAGAAGGGATAAAAAGAAATCCATCTCCAATAAATTTCAAATTTCTGATTTCAGCCATTTACTGTTAAACTTGGGCCATTTTATTTTGAATTTTGCTTAGTGAAATGTTAACAGTTTAAGTGAAGAGTGTAAAAATGTGGAAAATAACATGACTATCTACACTTGGCCTAAAACCAAAGCGAAGAAACAAGATACAAGAAAGAGCATTTTAATTATTATTATCATTCTTTTTTAGAGAGAGATTTTTGCTATAGGGCGCATGCACTCACCATAGAGACAGAGAGAGACGAGAGATAGAAAGCAAGAAATCATCTCCCAGAGGGCTGGCCACACCGCAGAATCTTCTCCATTCTCATCTCAGGATCTTGGGCATGCACACACACGCTCCCAGCATGAGTTTTAAGCCACCAGGTCTGGAACTCGAACTGCGGTCTACTACATGTGAGTCCAGCGAGGTGACCAGTATGCCATCGGCTGGTCCCTAGAAGCAGCATTTTTAGACTCAACATCCAAATGGCCCTTCAAAGTCCATCAGTGGGTGTGGGCAGTGAAACGGCAGTCGTTTGGGAGCTGGTAAGACCAAGCTGCCGTTAGGTCGTGTCGGCGGACCGGACCGGCCGGAGACGACGCGCTGGCTGAGAGTGTTACTTGTGACAGATGAAGGTGGAGGGATTCCTCTGCACGTCAGGCAGTGTTTGCACGGGCCTCCCAGAGAGGGATGCTGGCTGTTTCGCAAGACACGTGGGCCAGCTCCCCGTGCACAGTGCTTAGCCACCTGCGATGCCGGCCCCGGACCAGCGCTTCCCTAAGGCACCGGGGCCCTCCGGGTTCTGTCCCGCAGGTTCCTGGGCCTTGCACTGACTTACCAGCCGGGAACTCCACGGGAGCACGGCCCACACGAGGGATGCTCTCGAGGGGGCAAGAATTTGTTTCTACTGAGTCTTGCTTTGTTGTCAGCGGACAACGACTAACGAAGGTTTAGGGGAGGCCTGGATTTGATCTGAGCTCCTGCTCCAAGCCCTACAGACCAAACCAAAACGGATTCCCTCAGGCTGCGGTTCCAAGTCACCAAGCCTAGACCAAGTGGTTAGTCTGGCCTTCCTAGACAGCCACGGGCTTCCAGTGCACCCTCTGGTGACCCCTGGCTGATGTTAGGGGGAGAGGTCTTCTTTTTAAAATTTTATTTAACCTTATTTATCTATTTATTTCAATTTGACAAGAGAGGGACAGAAGGAGCAAGAGAGAGAAAGCAGGACAGCAAGCTGCCAGGTCCAGGACTCGAACCATGGTGGGCCATGCTGGAATCCAGAGCCCTGAACCACTTGCCACACTTAAGAGCCACAAAGGCCTCATGCCCTGCCAAAGCATGGCCCTTCCCTTTCAGAGCCGAAGCTTTGCGAGCCGGGTGGCGGTGGCGGAGGTGGCAGCGCGTGCACGCAGCAGCCGGGGACGCGGGAGGGCGCCTGTGCCGAGGGGTTCGCATGGAGCCAGGGCCGGCGCGCCTGCGAAGGTAACCCCTGGAGAAGTGGTCACTCCCTCCGCTGTGCGGGGCCTGTGTAGTACCCGCAGGGCCCTCCCCTGTCCCGGTGCGCGGCCGCCTGACGCAGGGGCTCTCCAACCAGGACCCGGACCGGCCTCCCCCACGGGGGTAACCAGCGCAGGGTCGGCCCAGGCGTCCAGGCTGGAGGTGGTCAGGGCCTGTGACTCGAGCCTGTCCCCATGAAGACTGGAGAGGGGTGGCTCCCTGGGGCCCCGGGAAGGGCTTGCTCCGGAGAGGCCTGGTCTCACGGGTGACCACTGGGAACCCCTGCATGGTCAGCAAAACGCAGGTGCTGGGAGGCCGTTTGCCCGGGCTGAGGGGTGGACCAGGCCTGTGCACCGTGCATCTCTCTCCCTCTCTTCCTCTCTCCCTCTCTCTGCCCCTCCCCCCTCCTCTCTCCCCCTCTCTTTCCCCACCCTCTCCCTCTTTCCCATCTCCCCCACGAGCTCTATCATGAATAAAGGGGGAACCCAAGCCTAGGGAACTGAAGCTGCGGCTCTCGGGGCTCCCCTCTGGCTGACGGCCGTTGGCGAGCTGCGAGAGTCGTCCTTTCTCCTGAAGGCACGGGGAGGGTTGGCATGGAGGATCCGGGGTGTGCGCACATCTGGGCATGAGCGGGGAGTCCTGGGGTAGACGCAGCCCCACGGGTGCTGACGGTGCCCTCTGCCCTGGGCCCCGGGCGGAGCCACGCGTGGAGACACAGTTGCCCGGCCAGGACCACAGGAGCCCACGGCGGAAAGGCTCTGTCCTGGGCCTGTCAGGAGCTGTCCAGAGTCCCTGACTCACCTGGCGGCCCACTTCTTTTCAAGGGGCATAGCACACCTTTTTCTCTGGGATAGATAGATTTAAGCTTACTGACTTCTTCCGTGAGTGTGAGCGAGTGAGAGAGAGACAGACACACAGAGCACCCCGGCAGGTCCCCGACTCCGTCCACCCCGGCCTTTGCCGGGGCCCTGATCTGGGCGGGCTGGGCCAGGAGCACCCCAGGTCTGACTTGAACTTTTCCGCGGGTGCGGGGTTTGCCTCTGCACCGGTTCCAAGGGGAACTGGGCTGTGTCCAGCCCTCCCGGAGGGGAGCCAGCCCCTCCCTCAGGCTCAGGGTGTAAGCAGCAGGAGACTCTCCTTGCCCACCTCCCGCCAGCGCAGGTTGTGTTGGGAGCTGAGACTCCGTGTGCTGCCCTCCTCTGCAGACGTGGACGAGTGTGTGCTGCGGACCCACGGCTGCACGCTGGGCTGTGAGAACACCCCCGGGGCCTACTACTGCACCTGCCCCGCGGGCTTCGCCCTGCTCCCCGACCGCCGGCGCTGCCACCGTGAGTCCTCGCCGCGCTGCCGCCTGGTTCTCGGTGGCCTGCCTTTGTAGGCACCTACACGTTGGTTCCGAAATCTCTTTCTTTGCTTTATTACTTTTATTTTTCTTTATTTTTAAAGTGTATTTCATAAGCTCTCATTTACCTTTAGTATTTGAACATCTGCGGGTTACGTTGTGATTTTTCAAGGCAAGCGGTGTGAGATCAGGCCACGTTGCCACGTCTGTGAGCTCCAGAGGGCACCTTCGGCGTCCGTTCTGTCCTCCTGGGGTGTTTAGGGGTATAGATGTGTGACCCTTGCTCACTGATGGTTCTAAGCCTGGGGTAGTCCTTACTCGGCAGCTTGCGTCAGACTTACCTTGGAGCCCCCTTTTTGTTTGTTTGTTTGTTTATTTATTTATAAGGTGCTCCAGGGCCCATGTGTGCCAAGCACGACACCCATACGCACCCACTGGTTCTTAGAACTTTTCTAACTTCCATGGCACAGAGCAGAAGCCTTTTGTGTACCGGGAATGCGTTCCGCAGTGGCATTGGCAGGGATTAACTGCCCCAAGTGTTGCTCGATTATTTCTCATCTGTTCATTGGCTGATCCTCCCGCACCTGCGGATTTAAAGTAACACCTCCCCCAGGGCGTCCTGTACGAAGCAGTCCTTTCCAACACGAGGTTTCTGCCTTTTATGTTACCCTTCCTCTACTCCTGCACCGATTCCTCACTGTTTTAACTATTGTACATTCATCTTGCTATTTTTTTTTTTATTTCCAGGAGGCCCAAACACTTGCCAGAGAGAGACAGAGAGAGCAGAAGAGGGAGAGAGCACCCCACTGGGGCGTGGTCACGCGGCAATCCTTTCTCTTCTGTTTCTCAGTCCTGTGGGTATTTCAGGCATACACAGATGGCCGGAATGGTTTTCAAGCTGCCAGGGCTGAGATTTGAACTGCAGTTGGCCATGTGGGGTCCTGGTCCCTTAGCTATTAGGCCATGGGGCCAGCCCGCATGCTTTTTCATATTTCTTAACAGCCTGTCATTACCTCCCACACCTAACACACTCACGCAATTTCCTGGTTTTTCTTACACATGCAATTTGTTTTCCAGATGAAGTTGAGTGGCATTGGGTTGAGTTCCATTTAAAATATTTTGCAATTTTGGGACCAGCAGAGGGTGTAACAGCTACGTCACTGGACTCCCATGTAGTCAACTGTGGTTCAAGTCCTGGACCCTGCAGCTTAAAACTCATGCTGGGCATGCGTGTGTGCGTGCCCAAAATTCCTAGAAGAGAATGGAGGAGAAGGGATTGCGGTGTGGCCAAACCCCGGGGGGTGATTTCTTGCTTTCTGTCTCTGTCTCTCTGGCGAGCACATGGACCCTACAGCAAAAATCCCTCAAAAAAATAATAAAATTAAAAAATATTTTGCAATTTTGATGACTAATACATTTTAAAATTGGATTTGAAACAAAAGACATTCAGAGGAAACTAGTCATTTTCCAAAATCAGAGATCTTTTAAAATTCTTTTAGATTTGAAGTTTTTGTTTTTAATGTCTTTATCAAAGCATTTCATCAATGTTCGCTCTTTCATTAACATACACTTTTATAAGGTGCTCCAGGGCCCATGTGTGCCAAGCACGACACCCATACGCACCCACTGGTTCTTAGAACTTTTCTAACTTCCATGGCACAGAGCAGAAGCCTTTTGTGTACCGGGAATGCGTTCCGCAGTGGCATTGGCAGGGATTAACTGCCCCAAGTGTTGCTCGATTATTTCTCATCTGTTCATTGGCTGATCCTCCCGCACCTGCGGATTTAAAGTAACACCTCCCCCAGGGCGTCCTGTACGAAGCAGTCCTTTCCAACACGAGGTTTCTGCCTTTTATGTTACCCTTCCTCTACTCCTGCACCGATTCCTCACTGTTTTAACTATTGTACATTCATCTTGCTATTTTTTTTTTTATTTCCAGGAGGCCCAAACACTTGCCAGAGAGAGACAGAGAGAGCAGAAGAGGGAGAGAGCACCCCACTGGGGCGTGGTCACGCGGCAATCCTTTCTCTTCTGTTTCTCAGTCCTGTGGGTATTTCAGGCATACACAGATGGCCGGAATGGTTTTCAAGCTGCCAGGGCTGAGATTTGAACTGCAGTTGGCCATGTGGGGTCCTGGTCCCTTAGCTATTAGGCCATGGGGCCAGCCCGCATGCTTTTTCATATTTCTTAACAGCCTGTCATTACCTCCCACACCTAACACACTCACGCAATTTCCTGGTTTTTCTTACACATGCAATTTGTTTTCCAGATGAAGTTGAGTGGCATTGGGTTGAGTTCCATTTAAAATATTTTGCAATTTTGGGACCAGCAGAGGGTGTAACAGCTACGTCACTGGACTCCCATGTAGTCAACTGTGGTTCAAGTCCTGGACCCTGCAGCTTAAAACTCATGCTGGGCATGCGTGTGTGCGTGCCCAAAATTCCTAGAAGAGAATGGAGGAGAAGGGATTGCGGTGTGGCCAAACCCCGGGGGGTGATTTCTTGCTTTCTGTCTCTGTCTCTCTGGCGAGCACATGGACCCTACAGCAAAAATCCCTCAAAAAAATAATAAAATTAAAAAATATTTTGCAATTTTGATGACTAATACATTTTAAAATTGGATTTGAAACAAAAGACATTCAGAGGAAACTAGTCATTTTCCAAAATCAGAGATCTTTTAAAATTCTTTTAGATTTGAAGTTTTTGTTTTTAATGTCTTTATCAAAGCATTTCATCAATGTTCGCTCTTTCATTAACATACACTTTTCAGAACAGCATTTTTATTCACGGTGATTGTAGAAACGTCCAGAAATGAGATTTAACTCTAACCTCGACCTTGGTCTTCATTGGCTAGAATTAGTTCCCTGTCCACGCAACGTGACCGAGTGTAGCTACGGCTGTGTTCTGACGTCAGGCGGGCCCACGTGCTTCTGTCCTGAAGGCTCAGTGCTCGAGGCCGACGGGAAGACGTGCAGTGGTGAGCTTGCTTACCTCTTCTTCGTTGAAAATACACATTTCCTGAGCGAGACCTGAACACCGATTTTCAAGCCAGGAGAGAATAGAGTTCCCAATACTCACATTGAAAGATATTTAAGCAACAAAGTGAATATACGTTCAAACTGAGGGCTTAGAAAGCTTTCTGCAGATAGCACCGAGCAGTGACCGGCGGGGCACTGGGGCTCCACGGCCCTGAGGGGCGCCGTTACTGGCCTTGTGGCCTGGGACTCGCCCTCGTCCTCCCCAGTCTCTGCCCCCTCCACGTAAGGATGGAGCCTCCTGGGTTAGACAGCCAGGCCCACACGGGCCTCTCAGGTCCTCACCAGGACTTGAGCACGTAGGAGGCCAGATGGCACTAAAAGTTAGCAGGGCAGCTGTGTGGGCTTTTTGGTTCTTTAATAGAGAAGATGAAAGAGGCTCCCACTGTGAGAAAGGGGACCCTGTCACTCAGGAGAGTCCGGCCAGCTGCCAAAGCCAGCTGCGTCTGTACCCAGCCAGGTGCCGGTGCACTCGCTCTGGACTGGGGTAGGACCCGGGTGGGACCGGGGGCCAGGCTGCTGGAATGTTCAGGAAGTTGGGTTCTGGGACAGGAGGGCCGTGGAGTATTTGCTCCTAACCTCCGAGAGACGGCCCTGACTGTGGTCGGTCATGTGACCAGCCATGGAAGGGGTTGCAGCCATCAGCATGTGCTGGACCCGCCCCCTGCCATGACACCGGCCCCGTCTGAGTGGCTCGCGTCCTGACCCGGCGATGTCTTTGGCAGGCTGTTCAATGGCGGGTGCAGCCAGCTCTGCCTCCCTCTTGGCCTCGCGTCCTGGGAATGCCGGTGCCTTCCTGGGTATGCCCTCCGGCCGGACAACAAAAGCTGCACAGCTCCAGGTGAGCACTGCCTCGAGGGAGCGCCTGAGGACGGGTCCTTGAGAACCTGGCATTTAGAGGGAAGGCAGAGGGTCGGACTGCTCCGGCTTCTGGGTGCCAAGTCTCATTTCGAATGTATCCAACGTCAACATACGCCGTCTTGCTTTTGAAGAATCTCTCTCTTTTTTTTCAACTGCTAGACGAGGCATGCACTCACCAGAGAGAGATACAGAGAGAGAGAGAAAGCCCCCGGGGCGTGGCCTTGCCACAGTCCCTTCTCCGTTTTTCCGTCTTCTCAGGACTTGGGACACGCACGGGTGCCGGCATGTTTCCAGCCGGGTGGACCTCACTCGTGGCCACCCGTGTGGGATCCGCCTCTTCCCCACCAGGCTACACGGTCGGCCCCGGAGAATATCTCTGCGTCAGTTACCATTCAGCAGAGATGTGCCACGATACTGGGTCTGGCATTTTTGGTGTGTGAGAAGCTCAGGACCAAAATAATCCTCACACGCTCCATGGATAACGAGTCATATGTGCCACTCGGTCTGCTGTCCCCTTGTGCTGGCTGTCACACTCATACTCCTGTCCCCGTGTCAGCATTCACGAAGACGCCGCACCTTCAGCTGTGGTGGCGTCTGCTGGTGTCGGGCAGTGGTTGGGACCCCTCAGTTTACGCTGGAGCGGTTTCCTCTCTCCCGAAGCTTCCCTCTGCAGTGATCGGGCACCTCAGGATCTCCTGTGCGCTGTGCCCGAGGCCTGAGCCACGGCCTCCCCGGCCTCAGCAGCACCTTACTCTGGTCCTCACAGCAACCAGAGGGCCAGCTGGGGGTGGCGTATTCGGACATGGCTGTGCACAGTCCACTCGTCTTAAGGGCCCAGGCCGTGTGACTCGGGCTTGCAGCCCCCGCCTGGCCCAGGGAGCTGCGTTCCTGCCAGCCCTTTGTATGTGATTGGTGCTTTCAAAGCAGACAAAGGGAAGAGACACTTACAAGATGAAAGAACGTAGAGTTCTCTGTTGAAAAAACTTCTGTAATTTTTGCTGTATATTAAAAAAAATAGAAAGAAATGATAATAATTTTAAAATTAAAAAAAAGCAGACACCCTGAGAGCAGAGAATGCAGCTCTGAGTTCCGGCCAGGCATCAGCTCCTGGAAGAGAAGGTGGCTCGGGGTCCTCACCTCCCCAGGCTGCTGGGAGGCTCAGAGATGGGCTGCGGGAGTGGAGGGAAGGCGGAGCCGCCCCTGGGTTCCACCCTGCGCTGGTGCAGCCCTGTCCCCTCTGCTCACCAGGACCGCCGCCGTTCCTGCTGTTCGCCAGCTCCCAGGAGATCCGGCACATGCGTTTCGATGGGACAGACTACGGAACCCTGCTTAGCCAGCCCGCGGGGACCGTGCTGGCCCTCGATTACGACCCTGTGGAAAACAAGGTGAGGTCCTGTTGACCAGCGCGGGTGTGCTCCCAGACAGAGCCCAGAGGATTAGGTGCAGGGCGGGTTAAATATAGACAGGGAGCCCCGCGTGAAGGGCTGTCAGGGTTGTCCTGCCGCCACAACCCAACCTGGCTCTTGCTGTGTTCGGTCCTCCATCCCGGGGCCTGCACTTCGGTTTCCTCCTGGCAGAGGGTGCAGGGAGCCCTGCTCGATGCCCTGATGAAAGCAGCTCCCTGATAGCGTTTCCATTGTTTGCTGTTGGTGGGAGAAGTCGGGGTCGGGACGTAGAAAGGAGCGGGTCACAGATTCACTGACTCTGTCACTGACAAGGGACTTCCTGACCTATTATGCCGGCAAATCAGAAAGCAGAAGTCATGTGGCTCACGCGGTGACGGCAGCCAGCGTCCACAAGGTTGTGTGTAAAATGACCCCTCTGCGCCATGCCTTGTGTCTGACTTAGAGCCTGTGCGGTAACGGCCGCCCGCCTGCTCCGTTGCTAGATCGGATCGTGCTTGCAATGATGCACGTCATGACTCTGAGGCTGCGCGCCCAGTAACGGTCAGTACTCACGCACTGCCGGATGCTGCGTCCGTCCCTAGAATTTTATAAACTCTGTGCTCTTGTGTTTCCTGCTCTGAGAGTCTGGCCAGAAGTGAAAGAATGAAGCCAGCCGATTGTGTTTAATGATGTGGAATGACAAGCAAACAGAACTATTGCATAAGTAAAAGTTAGACACTAGCAAGCAGCCCTTTCTTCTTTTCCCTAAACTGAATTTACATGGCTCCAGAGAACAATGACATTAACAGAAAAGAAAATGAATTTTAAAAATCAGTTCAAGATTATTTACTTATTGCAAAACATTTTTTCTCCTGCACAGTCAGTATTTTTATAAAGAATTATTTACTTGATTGTATTTGTTATTGTTAATATATTCTTTTAATTTGACCAGAGAGAGGCAGAGAGAGAGGGGAAGTGAGAAAGCAAGCCACCAGAGCCAGGACTCAACTCAAAGCATGGTTGGCTGTGGGATTCCAACACCTTAACCAGCGCCACCTGCTGGCTGCTAGTCAGGGTTTTACGAACAGGAGACCTAGGATGAGCTTTAAGGGATGTGCGTTTCATTTCTGCTTCACGTTCTTACTTTCTTGTTACTCAAGCGGCGGTCTGTAACCAGCTGCACCCACGTTACCTGAAGCTTATTAGAAATGCAGACTCTCAGCCCCACCCCTGGCCGCTGGCCCAGAATCCACATTTTAGCAAGATCTGGGGAGACCTGTGTGCCCTGCAGGGATGGGGGACACAGCAGAGCGGGGGTGGAGGGTGAGGGTGGTTATCTAGTCCAACCGGAGGAGACTACAGCTGAGAAAAGCGGGTTAATCGAGGTGGTCCCGGCAGTCAGCCGTAGGTGGGAGAGCTGGAGTGAGACCAGGTCCCGCTGCGGTGAGCGGGGGACTGTAACCCGCCACGGGACACGCATTCCGCCACAGCCCTTGCTGCATTGCAAACCGGGCTCTGAACCGAGGAGAGGCGGGTC